AAAAAAAAAAAAAACTTAAAATATAGATTAGATAAAAAGGAAACAAACCCACAGACCTACTGTAGATATATTTGTATTCCTCCAAAGTCTCACTCTCACTAGACAGCCATATTGGTACATCTGTAGATGTATCTGTGTATATGCAGATCTAACACACATGCACATGAATATGTCTCTCGATAGAGCAGTTAAAAATTCTGTGTAGTATGACTTCTCTAAAATTTAGAAATATATACGTATATTTTATATATTGCTTAATTTTAGAGGAGATCGCAGAATTCTCAATAGACTTATGGAGATAGAATTTCGCATAGCCTCCACCCGTTTCACTCATTTAAAGTGTACAATTCAGTTGCCTTTAGTATCTTTACAGAGTTGTGTGACCATCACGACGATGGATTTTAAAACATTTTCATGACCCTGGAAAGGAACCTTGCACCCCTTAACCCACGCCCCTCCCCCAGCTCTAGGTAACCACTAATCCCCTTCCTCTCTCTGAGGATCTGCCTGTTGGAGACACGTCATGTACGTGGACCCAGGCGCCAGGTGGTCCCCTGCGGCTGGCTGCCCTCCCTCCGCACGGTGTTTCGGAGGTGCGTCTCTGTGGCAGCGTGCATCAGCCCTTCCTTCCTTTTCACGGAGGATTATGTGCATACTGTTTTGTGTGCGACTGTTTTCACTTACACATATGTCTAAACATCTCCCCGTGACATTAAATATTCTTCTGCAACATCATTTTAAATATTCGTGTGACGGTCCCAGGCCAGGATTCGTCACTATTCACTCACCTAATGCCCTGCTATTGAATCGTCCGCGTCTTGCATTAAAAATGACCACGAGGCCAGACATTATCTTCAATTAGGGTGATGCTCCCAGAGGCCACAGAGACTTCTGGCTCCAGAACTCACTGACTTCACGACTTAATTAATTTAAATGAAAGCAAATCCAATTCACCTCGATTTTGGTGGCTCCTATTACTAAATGCACTGTATGTGCCGGGTACTTTGCTAGGCGTTTTATTTTCCTTGCCTCACTTAATGAGCAAAACAACCTATGGGAGAGGTCCTCATGTCCTCATTTTACAGGTGGAGAAACCGAGGCCCAGAGAGGTTCAGGAACATGCCCCAAGTGGCAGAGGCATGATTGGCACCTGCCTGTCTCTCCGTGCATACTCGTAGCTGGTAAAGGTGCAACTCTCCTGCTCTGCCCAGCAGGCCTAACACCTGGAAAAAGCCCAGACGGGTCCCCCTCTGCAGGCCTGGGAAGTGGAAGACACTCCGACAGAAGGCCCAGGGAGCCTCCTCCCACCTCACTGCCGGGCTCCAATCAGTCAGTGGAGCCTGCATGTGCACCCAGGTTTCTCTGGTCCCGGAGTCGGGGTTCTTTCCTGTCTTGTCGGCATTTCCCCATCTGCCGTCATTGGTTTATCTCTGTCCCGATTTTCATTTGTATCACCTCAATTTAACCCTTAAAAAATCGTGTTTTGTTTTAACCATCTCCCTCTTGAGAGGTAACCCGTTGCTAGTCACTGGAAAGAGAGCATCGCTCACTGCAATCGGAAGACAAGCCGGGGGAAGCAGTGGCAATAAAGCAGAGGTCTTACTCTCTGGTCGGATAACCGCGGCTTGCCAGGACTTCACCTCTTTGTTGAGAAGAAAGTCCTAAGAGTACTAGGTGTTAAAGAGCTAATGGCACCTGACTCAGACTCTCCTTGACCCGGTCGGAAAGATCGGGAAGAGAAAAAGGAGTGAACTTTCTCCTCACCGGGTTCAGGGCTGTTGAGTGAGTGGCCCCATTCCACGAAGTCGTCACATGGGCTCCTGGCCTCTGCGGTCTCCACTCTGGGCAGCCCCTCAGGGCCAAGCAGGGCCAGTCTTGGTGTCCTGGTTCCGGGAAGCAGTGGTGGGAGGTGGTGTCACAGAGCACACAGGTGCACATCCCGAGGCCCGGCCCTGCCTCACGCCGACCTCAGCCTGGGGATGAAACCTGGACAGGAAATACTCCCTCCCACTGCCCACACACCGAGGATTTTATAGCCTTTTATCGTGCTTGAAAAATGATTTGCTTCCTTGGAACCAAGCTAAGAAGTTCAGCATGTAGATTTTGAAAAGCCACCGTGTGAACCATCTACTGCTTTGAAACCAGCAAAGAAGAGTGAGCCCTGGCCACGCTTTTTAATTGCTATTTATTGTCCCTTAAAAAGGCTCCATGCTTCACTTTCAAGTTGCCCTGCCTGCGTATTGAAATCGGAAAGTTGAGCACATGCCCATGGCAGACATGTCCCGGTCTGGCAGCTCCAATTCCGTTCTACCCAAAGGCTTATTAGGACAGACCGAAGGAGATACCACCTGCCTCGGGCACCCTTCAGTCTGGGGCCGTTGCTCATGGCTGTCCCCCTGCCTGAAACCCTGTCCTACTCGGATCAGGCCTCTGCTCCTGACTTGGCTGCAGGTTGGACTCACCTGGGGGTTCTGAGACCACACCTGGGCGGACCCCGGTGTAGACCAGTGAAGGCAGAACCTCTGGGTGGAGGTGGAGGACCTGGAAGGGGGGGGGGGGCACGAGGGCGTGGTCTCAGCCCACAGAGGCTTTCAATTTGCAAGCAGGTAGAACCAACCTCAGTCTGGCAAATTCCTGTTGGCCTTACAGGTGTCAGGGTCATCGCTCCCCTCAGAGGACCTCGTACGTGCCAATGGCACTTGCAGCTCCTGCTGAACCCTTGTCCCCGGCAAGGGAGCTTGTTCAGTCACCGGACCCGTGAAGCTCTGAGAGCCAGAGCCCGTCCTCCGGTCAGCTGATTGTCCCACGCACGTCACAGGGCCTGGCCCTTGGAGGGTCCTCGTTAAGCTTTTAACCACTTTAACTCAATGAATGCATGACGTGCGGATGAGAAATGAGTGGGTCTCTGAAAGGACGCGGGTCTGTCTTTAACATTGGGAACGTTTCCCAAGTGGCCAGTGCTCTCCACAGAGAATGGGCAAGAGTGAAGTATACTT